TTCCAGTCCTTCCTCGGGATGGCCCAGCAGCACTCCACCCACAATGGGGTCAGTCAGGGCCAGGCCGGGTGGGCCGGGATGAGCTGGGCAGCGGTGGGGTGAGCCGGGCAGCACAAGGGTGGGTCGGCCTGGCCGTCTCCCTCCTGTGTGCTCAGCCCAGTCGGGGGTCCCCAGGCTCCTGTACAGCAGGCGGCCAGCCCCACCAACCCCACAGCCATTTCCCCCGACGAATACTTCAACCCCGACTTCAGTCTGGAGTCTCGGAATATCGGCCGTCCCATCGAGATGTCCAGCAAAGTTCAGAGGTGAGGCTGGGGCCTGGCCTGGGTGGCTAGGGGCCTATTTCGATGAGGGACCTGTTCACACGGCTGGCTGGCTTCCCCTAGATTCTGCCTCTGGGGGCAGGAGCTGGACCTGGCTTCCCTATGGTCCAGGCACCCAGTGTCTTTCCTGAGCGGCAGAAGGGAACGGGCCTGCTGGGGGGCCTGAGAAGGCCGCCTCTCCTCGCCAGCCTCGTTTTCTCTTCGGTAGAGAGAGGCTGATCATGCTGGCCGTCAGCCTCACGCAGAGATGCGAGGGCCCACGAACCTTCTAGCGAGTCAATTCCAACTCACAGCAAACCTGTCGACAGAGCAGAACAGCCCCCTAAGGGTTTCTGAGACTGGATGGGAACAGACAGCCTCATCTTTCTCCCTTGGAGCGGCTAGTGGTTTTGAACCGATGACTTAACGTACTGCAAGGCTGAGGGTCCAGTACGTGGTAATGCTGACTGAGACCAGTGGGATGAGGTGACCACAGCTAAGCCTCAAGTGGGTTATCTCTACCACCTGGCGTAGAGAGGCGTGGGATTCGAACCTCTGCAGTCCTCGTTTCTGAGCTGTGCTGCACCTGAAACCACAGCAGAGGGTGAGGTACTGGCAGCTGTGGGCTGAGGAGGAGGACGACGGCAGTGTGGAGTCCCGAGGGCAGCCGCCGCCTGGCCCCTGCCCTGTCACCTGGATGCATGTCACAAAACCATCCTGAGCTTCAGTTGTGGGGTCCGGGGCAGCTTGGGCCAGCAGGACAGAAGGACACCAGCTCTCGGGGGTAGTGGGGTAACCAAGCGGAGAGGATGGCACCCTGACAGGGCCAGAGGTGGCCCTCCTGAGGGGGGCTTTAGCAGAAGAGCTGTGGCCTCACGTGGCGGTTGGCCGGGCAGGTTCAAGGCAACGCTGTGGCTGAGCGAGGCCCACCCGCTGTCCCTGGGCGACCAGGTGGCGCCCATCATCGACCTGATGGCCATCAGCAACGCCCACTTCGCCAAGCTGCGCGACTTCATCACCCTCTGTCTCCCTCCCGGCTTCCCCGTCAAGATTGGTGAGGGCCGGCCTAAGGCGGGGAAGGGTGGAGAGGGGGGGGTGGCGCTGGGGTCTGCCTCAGGGTGCGATTCCAGCTGGGCCTCTCCCGCAGAGATCCCCCTCTTCCACGTGCTCAACGCCTGCATCACCTTCAGCAACCTGTGCGGCTGCGACGAGCCCCTGAGTTCTGTGTGGGCTCCCGGCCTTGGCTCTGCCGCCTCAGGTACCCCGTCAGGAGGGCGTGGGGGTGCCCAACACGCTGGTTCCTGAGCCCTGGCCTGAGCCTGGCACCTCCTGCCACCCACCCAGGGAGCCCCTTTCCGTGCGAGGTGGACCCTGCGGTGTTTGAGGTGCCCGAGGGCTACAGCGTGCTGGGCGCTGAGCGCAGCGAGCCCCCTCGGGACGAGGACGACGACCTCCTGCAGTTCGCTATCCAGCAGAGCCTGCTGGAGGCCGGCACGGAGGCGGAGCAGGTGGGTACAGGCACGGGTTACCTCCCACCTCACCTGTAAGCCCACGGGGTACAGGTGGGAGCTCTGGGCTTTGCTGCTGCAGGTGACTGTCTGGGAGGCTCTGACCAGCGCCCGGCCCAGCACCCACCCTCCCCAGCCCACGGTGTATGAGGAGCAGCTTCAGCTGGAGCGGTGAGACCCCCTAGGACCTGCTGGACTGAGCTCATCCCAGCAGCCTGGGGGACCCAGTAGCCCAGGCAGGGGTGGGGGAACTGGACCTGGGACCCCAGGCCCTGTCAAGTTTGCCTGCATCAAAAGGGCTGCCAGCCACTGCTGATCCCTGGGCCACCTCCCCCAGCCTTATGCTCACCTCTCCCTCAACATCTATCTCCCCCTGCACTTCCACCGGCACCGGGAAGAGCCCTCCAGGAGAGCCTGCGGCTGTCCACAGAGCCTGGGGCCCCGGGATCCCCACACAGGACGCCCCCGGCGCTGGCACACCCAAGCTTCGAGGAGCAGCTCCGCCTGGCCCTGGAGCTGTCCTCCTGGGAGCAGGAAGAGCGGGAGCGCCAGGGGCAGCAGGAGGAGGAGGACTTGCAGCGGATCCTGCGGCTCTCGCTGACGGAGCACTGAGGCCCGCCACCGCCGCCCCTGCTTTTTAAATGTATTTATTGATAAACTGTGCTGCCAAGCTCCGGGCCTGGAGCCCAGGTCGGCGTGCGGTGGAGACCTAGGTGGAAATAAAGAGTTGTCCATGAGCAGGCTTGCTCTGATCAATGGGGCCCTGCCCCGGGGAAAGCTGGGGGTGGGTGCGGGGTGGGGGGAGGCCTGGGCCTGGAATCCTGGCTGCCACCCTATGGGACTATCTGCCAGTTGTTTCCAGTGAAATGAGACCATTGCCCCCTTCTCCCAGGGCTGCTGACAGCAGGAGGTGGCCCTGAGTTGAGTGCCTCTGGATAGCCTGGTGGCACACTGGCTTATGATTTGGGCTTCTAACCTTAAGGTCAGCGGTTCGAACCCACCAGGGGCTCCGTGTGAGAAAGATGAGGCTTTCTGCTCCCTGAACGATTTGAGCTCAGAGACCCAACGGAGCAGTTCTATTCTGCCCTAAAGGGTCACTGTAAGGGCAATGAGTGGTCTGGGGTGGCTGGTGCAGCGACACCGCGGCACCACCCCAAGCCCCGTCCACCTGCTCAGGGTAGCCCTGCTACCTAGGACGCCAGGGTGGTGGGTGGGCTTCCAGGTTTCACCCCTAGCTCAGGCCTGCCCTCCAGCCATCTCCACTGCGGTCCGTCCAAGCGACTGGACGAATGACTGCCTCGCTCCAGGCCGGCCGGCCCGGTGGTCGGGGATGGGGTCTCCAGGGGTTATTTCTACATCCCACCACGCCGCGAGACCCCGAGAAGGGAGTCTGCAGCAGCACAGCCCGCTGTGGAGAAATCAGTTCGGGGTGGGGGGTGCTGGTTCCCCCGGCCCACGGAGCACGAACCGCCTGACCGCCTAGCCAGCCGCAGCGGGGAGCCCGGAGCCGGCGC